GAGCCCAAGAAAATCTTCTTTTAATCCCTATGGGTTTCATATTCCATCGATGAAGTTCCAGAGCTGGCCTGAAAAGCAATTTTATGAAATAATTTACCAGAGGGGAGGGGGGGAACATTACAGTCATCCCTCTGAGGTTCGCCAGTAATAAGCACGCTCTATTCTCCTCGAGCCCAGAAGAGTCGCGTGGGCTTGATAAATAACTTGAGTTTGGTCCAACTGCAGCTCTAAACAGATGTCTGTAAATATTGTGGAAAAGAACCCCCAGAAAGTTGGTGGGTGTTCCTCATGAGTGGCTGTGGACGTTTTTGTTGGCAAACAGGCAACGGCTGTCTGTCTCCCCTTTGTGGATGACTAGCTTGCCATAGGAACGTGTGATTGCTTTGTTTTCCTAGTGACAATCTTAATCATTATGGCTTCTTTTAAAGCAGTGTTTCTCAACTAGTGGAGGTTTTGCCTCTCCTCCCATCCCACTCAGGAGACGTTCAACCATGTCTAGTGGTATCTTTTATTGTCATGGCTGGCAGTGGGGGGCGCTACTGGTATCTAGTGGGTAGAGACTGGAGATGCTGCTAAAAATCCTACAAAGCATAGGGCAGCCTCTACCCCCCAGCAAAGGATGGCTTGGCCAAAATGCCAATTGGGCCCAAATTGTCTTAAAGTAGTAACACCTTGTTTTAGTATGTCTTGTTCATTGACTCATTTATTCATTCATTCAATGCATAGTTATTGTAGAACCTACACAATACCCACGTAGTCCTGTTTCTGTGTATTGCTGGATTCATCAGTTCACTCATGAAATGACTGTTTGTTGAGCATCGATTCTGTGCCAGGCACTGGGGTCTTGAACAGCACAGTCGGGATCTTTCCTCCTCTGGGGTTTACTTTCTAGTGGAAGGGAGACAAGAGTCTCGACAAGCCAACAGATGAACAAGATCATTTCAACCAGTGATGAATGCAATGGAGATTGTTGAACAGAGTAAAACAAAACCCCTGGGTGGGTGGCTGTGTAGGAAGCCCCTTTCAGGAGGGGCTTGGGGGAGGGCCTCTCTATGTAGGTCACGTGGAAGCTGAGGTACGAATGGGTGGAAGGAAGCAGCTCCGAAATCTGGAGGAGGAGTGTTCAAAGTACCTCTGTTCCCAAAGGCTTAGGTAGTTTCGGGACCAGGGACACGCAGGCCACTGAAACTCAGATGGAGGAGGCGAGGTGGACAGCAAGAAGATGACGAGAGGGGCAGGAGTTATGACCAGACAAGGCTGTACAGTCCAGGAAAGAGTTCAGACTGCGTATCAGGTGCAGTGGGAAGTCATGGCGGGATTTTAAGTGGGGCGGACACGGTCTGGGTTAGGGAGAGATAAGTCCACTTGGGCTGCTGGTGGAGAATGGGAGGTAGAAGGGAGGGGCCAGTCAGGAGCTCACTGCAGGAAGGAGGCCAGCTCAGGCCACAGTGCCCTGAGTGCAAAGGAGAGCAAGTAGGTGAATTTGGGAAGTCCCCGACTTGCCTGGATAGGATCCGTTACTCGGTCCACTGCAGCTGCCGCCTGAGCTTCCCCTCTCTGGTCAGTGCGGGTCCTGAGAGCCTCCACTCTGCTTCCTCGGCCGAGCCTGTCCTGACTTAACTCCCACATGCACGGGGCTCCTCTGTCCCCCACTGCCTTAAGTGAGCAGACCCTCCCTAATGAGAGCTGAGCTCAGCTTAGCGCCCCCTCCCATTCCTAAGTCGGTCAAGAGTTTCCTTGAATATCAGACTTCTGCAGCTGCAGCCTAGCCCCCAGCCTCACCGTCTTTGTTCCTTCCCTGGTGGATCATACCCTTAGGGTCCCAATGTGGCACCTCCTGACCATGACCCGTCAGCAGCCTCCCATGGGGCTTAGGCTACAATCCGGATTTCTATCTGGTCCCTGCTCACCAAGTCAGACACTCCTTTTTTTTTCTTTTCCTTAACCATTTTTTTAATTTAAATTCAATTTAATTAGCATACTATATTATTAGTTACCGTGGTAGAATTCTGTGATTTGTCAGTTTCATACAATACCCAGTGTTCATTACTTCAAGTGCCCTCCTTCATGCCCATCACCCCGTTACCCCGTCCCCCCATCTCTCTCCCCCGCAGCAACACCCAGTTTGTTCCCTATAGTGAAGAGTCTCCTATGGTTTGCCTCCCTTTCTGTTTCCCTCATACTTTATTTTTCCTTCCTTTCGCCTAGGCTCATGTGTTTTGTTTCTTAAATTTCACATATGAGTGAAATCATACGACATTTGCCTTTGACTTATTTCACTTAGCATAATACCATCTATTTCCATGCACGTCATTGCACATAGCAAGATTTCATTCTTTCTGATGACTGAGTAATGTTCCTGTGCATGTGTGTGCATGTGTGTGCGTGTGTGTGCGTGTGTGTGTGTCTGTATGTATAGATAGATAGATACACAGATATACACCACATCTTCTTTGTCCATTCATCCGGGCTTTTTCTGTAGTTTAGCTACTGTGGACATTGCTTCTATAAACACTGGGGTGCAGGTACCCCTTCGAATCACTATGTATCCTTTGGATAAGGAGCATTTCCACATTTGCTCATACCAACCTGTGGAAAGGGGCCACATAACCGATCCCTCTAATCCTTGTCCTTTTACTTTTGAGGGTCTCTCTGCCTTGCAGGCACTTTCTTTATAGCTTTCAGCCTCTTTCACGTCCCAGCTCCAATGACACCAGCCTTTCTTGTGTGAAGTCATTCTACAGAAGGCACTTTCGATGGGAGTGATACCAGCCTCACAGGGGTGAAAACTGGTTCTTGGAGGATGAAAAAAAATCTTACTCTTTTAATCTGTAAAGCACAGATACACATGCAGCACATAACCAGAAGGATAGCCTGCTAGAGGAAAGGTAGGTAGCTGAATTGTTAACGAGAGAGATAGTATACCCATGGTATTAAAATATCATAGAGGGGATTCATCTGGAAGAGAAGTCTAAAAACTCTCCCACAGGGGCAGGTAACAAGGAGAAAGAAGTTGAAAACCATTGGTCTGTAGAAACTGTCTCTCCACTCCACTTACTTGCCAACATACTCCCTAATTTAATTCCTTTCAGAAATTTAGGACAATTGGCAAATACCCTGCTGATTTCTGTTCACTGCCCAGAATCTTCTGCACCTCCCCCATCCCTCCAAATGTAAGCTCTGTGAAACCCACGTATCTTGGCTGTCGTCCACTGTGTCTCGAGTATCTGCACAGTGCTGGGCACATAGTAATCATCCAGTATCTATTGTGACCAAGCAATGATTTCAATTATGAGAATAAGGACCCAATGGGTGAACTGGACCCCTCCTGGATTTCAACTCTCACTTAAATGTTTCCCTTTTGAACACTGAGTTTAAGCCTTCTTCCCTGTCCCACAGTCGTTCATCTCCTAGCCCTTGTCTTGACTACCCCCAGTTTTCTCTCCTAGAGAGAAGATCACTGAGAACCAGCAACCATGCAGTCAGCCCTTCTTTATGCCACTGAGACACCACAGTGAATACCACAGGGATGTCTGACTCGGTGAATTAAAAACATTTCCATGAAAAGTATAACAGTAGGCCAACCATCTTGGAAATTACACAGCAGAAGGAATGCATGATTATCTGATTTAACAAGAAACTGAATCATAGTGACCATCTGCAAAAGAAAAAAAGACTGGAAGGACACAAGCCAAAATGTTGGCAGTGTTATCTCTGGAATGTGCACTTGCAGTTCGTTTTCTCCTTACGCTTCTGTTCTTAATTTAGGACTTTCCTACAATAAGCCTGTATTTCCTTCAGCAGAAGACACCAGGGTTTTGGTGGCTGGTTTTTAAAAAAACCATTCATGATACTGCAGTATGAGCAGCAAATACAGGTGTACCTCTGGTCCACTCACCCAAGGCCAGTTCTACTTGATTACATGGGGACCCCCACAAAGCTTTTTCTAGGGCAATTTCTGTGTTTAGGGGAGCCATGGGATTTTGGCCAACGCAGTTCATTAGGCAAACAGTACCAGCTTTATTGCAGGACAGTACCTGCTATCTGTTCCACAGAAGATTATGTTCGTTAGCTTTCCCAAGGATGTCCGTGACTCCCCAAAGCACAAAAGATTTCTTGCATTGTGAGGCACTCACCCATGCAAAATACAAAAACCAAACAAACACAGAACACATTCCCACATATTTTAAGGTATTTCTCAGGGAGTTTCATGGCTCCCTGAAGCCAACAGCCCGACCGAGTAAGATTACTCAGTGAAATGTCTCTTTAAACCTGGGCTTTACCTCTTTATTTTCTCCGCACACGTAGCTACCAAGAGTGGCTACCCAAATGTCTGGAACTTCCTTGACCCTGGAGGCTATTCTAGACTCCGCCTCCTCCTAGCACGTCCCATCTGCCCCAATGCAGCTAGTTCATGCTTCAGTGTCCTGAAACGTTACGTGACAAAGTCTTGATCTTTTTCATGATCAAGGAACACTTCCAAACCGAGAACTTTTGGCAGATCCATTAACAAACACACTCCGTTCATTACTAGATCCAGTAATTCGTGCATAATTACAGTGCCCACTGGGACAGCTAACAGCATCTCATCTCGCAGGGTGTCCCAGCCCCTGAGTCTAGCACACAAAACATTTGGGCTTTGAGCCACTGTCTGCCCCCAACCTTGATGTCATCCACCCACAAGGGGATGATACAAACGATGCTGCAGCCATAGTCATGCCCTCTGAGAAGCCGGGAGTTCGTCCACACCCGTGAAAACTTGGTGACCTGAGAACAGCTCATAGTACAAGTGGTACGTTGAGGCACATGATTTGAGAATCACTAGGGAACTTAGAGAATTTCTTACCTCCGAAGCCCAATGCTATAGGACAATGAGTCTTAGGACCCTCATTTAAAGCAAACAAACCTGGAGAATAATCTTTGAATAAAAGACTGTGTATCTGCCCAAATCTCCCTGGGCTCAGCAGAGATTATTTGCCGGAGGACAATGTCATTCTTACCTCCTCCAGGGCCCAAAGGGAGTCTACCACGGGCTTGATCTTCTTCTGGTTGTAGAGCCCAATGAGTTTGTCCACCACTCCTCGAATGAGGCCCGCGCGGCCCTGTTTGAAGAGCAGGTTCAAAAGGGAAAACCCCGCGATGACTTTGTTCTCTTCGTAGAGCTTGATGGGGTTCACCTTCTCGACCTGCCACCACTGGAAGGAGAGAAGGTGCCCATTACAGGGAGCCAACGGCAGCCACGTTCACAGTATTAGCAGGTGGAAAACAGGGCTGCAGCAGGGTGGGTCCCAGGGGGCCTGGTGGGGTAGGGGGTGGGAGGTCCTTGTTGGGGTATTTTTTTCAAGCAGCCATGCAGCCAGACAGCACTGGGAGTGCAGAGTGAGGCTTCTGTGCTGAGCATGAGGTCTGGGCGGGAGAGAGAGACAAACATCCCGAGAATAGCTATCAGGCCACATGTCACTGGAACCCTGAGGCGCAGGGTTAGGACTGCCCGCTCTGGAGATGAATCCTGGTACTACTTGTGCTCCCTGTTCCTCTCTGTGCTTCATAGCTCTCAGCTGCAGACCGTGCTAGAGTGCTTCCTCCCAGGCTTCTGGAAGAGTTTAGCTTATGAATAGCAGGGGAGGAGTGGGGTGGCAGGGAAGTCTACCAAGTGTGGTGGGGACTCGGTGGGATGGTGACCCAGCCACAAGAGCAGCTTTCTTAGGCGGAATGATGGTGCAGCTGGAGAGGTGGGTTGGAATCCAGCAGAGGAAGAGTGAGGGAACGTGATACAGGCAGAAGGCACAGCACGGTGGAGCATGGAGCCATAGTGTTGGGACAAAGCCAGCGGTTCTTATCTGAAGGACAGTTGGCAAAGTCTGGGAGTGTTTTTGCTGTGGTGACTGGAAGGGAGAGGAATCTACTGGCATCCAGTGGGTAGAAGCCAGGGATGCTGGTAAACATCCCACAGTACATAGGACAGCCCCTCATGACAAAGAGTTATCTAGACCCCAAACGCCGATAGCGCTAACGTCCTTGACAGGATACGCACAGGTGGCAAGTGTGGCTCTCTCCCTTCTAGCCTCTCATCTCCCACTTCTGACATGAAAGTAAGTGAATAATCCAGAAATGGTTATCCAGCTGCTTTGTCCTGATTTAACTGCATCTCCTTTGGTGCTGGTTAGAATTTAGAATGCCAACTTCCAGTTTCTAAAGGCTCTAGGAGAAGTGGTGGATCGTTTAAACCAGAAGGCAGAGTGGAATGTGGTGGGCACATAGGAACATTCATAATGTTTACATTATTGGGGTGTTTATTTACATCCCGCCTCTTTCCTGAATTGTGGGAGCTCACAAAAGCTTGCCAAAGATTTTGATTTGTACTTTTTGAAATGGGAAAATCATACTGTTAGGAAAATAAGTGTGAGAAAGACAAGTCAAAAGCAGGGATAAGGTTCATGCACAAAATTCTTTACTAATGTACATCCCCTGAAGGCCTGCGGGCCAGCTCTAGGAGAGACATGTATTTGGCCATGGGCTGGCTTCCCACAAAAACAAAGCAGAGAAATGATTAATGACTCGTTTCATGGTGCATCTGCATTGTCTCAGGGAATGTCTGTGAAATGAACGCTTGTAAAATCTGCAATTCCTACAGCTATGGTTAAGTTCCAGAGCCAGATGCCTAGTTTTGAATCCCAGTTGTGGGACTTTAGGCAAGTCACCTAACCTCTCTGTGCTAAGTTTCCCTACTGCACCTCAGAGAGTCATGATGAGGAATAAGGTGTTAATATATAGGAATTCTTAAAACGGTGTCTGACCTGGAGTAGGTTTTCTATAAATATAAAATATTTGTTATCTTTGATTTAGTGAGTAGGAGCTCTGAATTTGGTGTCAGATTGCTCTCTAGGTGTTAGCCACTGTTAATCATTGCTATTGTCAAAAAGCAAATGGTGTATTGGACAGAGTGAGTACAAGCTCCATAAGAGTTTTAAGGTGGAACATAATTAGGATATCCGAGTGAGAAATTCTTGCATAGTTCCAAGTATGGCCTTATTTTTTGGGCCTTTCTCCAACACCATAAAAGAAAATTCCTTTCTAGAATCTTCTAGAACAAAGTCATCATTCCACTCCTCGGCATGCCCTATCTTCATCTTACTTCTCACTGACCGACTAATATCGGACCAGGCCTCCAAAAGGAAATAGCCTTCGTTCTTGCCCTCCAGCTATACAGCACTCTTGTAATCAGCTCCCCTGCTTTAGGCAGGAGAATCTCAACCTCCATCCTGGCCGTGTTTTCATGCGTGCCTTCACTGAACCTGGGCACACTGCAATTATTTCATTAACACCGTGTGTTCTGATTATGCGTTTAAGGGAGAAAGGGAAAACACTTCTTACAAGTGCACGTAATTTGGGATCACTTTGGTTCCCCACAGCAGGCTGTCAGCATCACGTTAATTACAGCCACAGCAACAAAACAGCTGCGAGTGGCACAAAGCCTATCTTCAGGGGACTAGCTCCAGACAGAATCCTTCCTCACACTCTGTTCTTGCTCCCTTACAGATTCTTTCATTGCAGCGATCCTTGACCTGAATGCTGAAGTTCAAAGGCAAAGGCAGGCCCTTTAATTCTAATGTCACAGGGCAGGGAGTACAAATCATTCCAGAATCACTGGTGTTTGGGGGTGAGGCCTTGTGCAGCCAATGTTGGCACTTAGGGGGCACATGAATACCCCATAGTGCCACACTTAGAATGATTTCTGTGGCTTTCCCTGGGCACCCTATTCAAAATGCCTCCACCCAATCCTGCATCCTGTTTTGAATCCCTGTCCGAGTTCTTATGACCATTTACAATAATCATCTTATTAATATGTTTCACCTATTTCCGTTTGTCTCCCTCATTAGAATGTGAGAGTCACAAGGGGCTGATATGTGCCCATGTCACTCACTGCAATGCCCTGGTGTCTTGCACACATGGCAGGTGCTCAGAAGACACTCACGAAGTGAGTGAATCAATCAGTGACACACTGGCTGCTTAGGAGGCTTGAGGAGAGGAGAGGAGACGAGACGAGACAAAAGCAAGCCCTCCTGAGAAGCAGCAGTTCCCTGTTGGGGGGCAGGGGTAAAAACTGAAGTTCAAGCCCTAATTAGCTTAGTTCTAGCAAGTATTGCTCTAATGTGGGAATACAGATCCAAGTAGGTTGGAATGCCCAGGGATGTGGTTTCTCAATCTCAAAGTAACCGCTACGTTCAGAGCATGATTATTTAAGCTAGTGGTTCTCCGATTTGCCTGTGTCTAAAATCACCCTGGGGGCTTGCTAAAATTGCAGGATCCCATTTGTGACTCCAATTCAGTAGAATGGAGATACAGAGAAATCTTAAGTACCCCCCAGAGACCTGGGCAGAAACCAGTAAAATGCATTAATGCCAAGTTTATTTTTGACCAATGATTAAAAACACAGAAACTTAAGCAATCTCTGCTGAAATCAAAACAAAGCTTTTCTGAGTTTCTCAGATGCTCCCACCTCTCTGCTTCATTTAGACGAAGCAGCCAAAGTAAACACACATTCTTACTTATGTGTAGTGAGCAGGGTGGGAACATAGGCTTTCCTGAAAATGAATGATGCGGATAAAGGACAAACAAGGTTTAGGTTATTAGGTCAATGTCTTTAGACATTGAAGAATATAAGAAGCATAGAGGAGCTCACAACGTGCAAATCACCATACAACCATAGTACATTTGTCACACATAGATACTCACTGACTTTGCAAAGCTAAAGAAGCTCTTGGTCTCTCCAGTCACCATGTTGGATGAACCTGCAAATGAAGGATTCCCAAATCAAGCTATTGCTAGTGAAAAGCAACATCTCTTGCTACACACGGAAGAATGACAGTTGTTTGGTCCAGAACTGTCAAGAGCTTGAAAACAACTTTAATTCAGCCTTGGAAAAATGAGGGAAATGGAGGGAGTAGGTGGCATCAAGTTGACCTGATTTTGGCCAGCTGTCACTGGATCAAAGAGAAAGTGGTATTTCTTGAGGTGACCATCCGATTACTTTGGAAAATTGGGCATGTATCAAAAACATGATTTAGGCCCACATCCTAAAAAAATGAAAAGTTGTTCGAAATGTCTTTTTGGTTCCATTCTTCAAGACTGGGAAATGGAGTCCTATGTGAGCCTAACTCATGGTTTGAATTTGATTCCTTAACAAGTGAAAAGCTTGGGGCTCTGGGCTGGTCTGGGCACTTAAGTAGCAGGGAGAGATGGGACTGAGCTCGAATTTAGATGGGTGGGAAAATGGGGGTACAGAAGAGCAGGTGAGAGTGAATATAGGTTCAGAAGCCAAGGAAATGGTGTGATCAACATACTAGCTCCAAAGAAATCTGAGCAGAGAGGACAAAACCACTTGAGACAAATGGTGTGAGAAACTGAACTTAGCTAAAGGGAACAAACAATATTCAGAGGGAAGATGGGAAATGGTGTTAGGAAGATTTCCTAAGGTGCTCTTACAGAGAGAAAAGACCCCTTTGTGTGGTTTTTGGGGATGTGGAGGGGATAAAAGCCCTTAGTAGATCAGATGCCATATTGGTGCTTTTTCAACAACTTTCTTCCCTTGTCTCCAAAGGCTGGGAATAAGTCCTTCTCAGAGAACCATTATTTAATGAAAAAGCAGTGTATAATTGAAACTTCATTATTTGGTCTCAGTAGACTAGTAACCAGTCAGTTAATCACTGATCCACTTTTATGGGGTGACTACCACCAAGCATCATGGTACCAGGCTTTGGTTACTTAGTAATCAATGTAATCAGTTAGATCCTTGTGAGATGGTAAAATTGTATTCTGCCAAGTGACGTCATAGATCTAGGGCAAAATTAGAATTGGCGAACAAGTAAGAAAGAATAAATTGTCCATCAACATTTGACACACACCTTAGTTATATCCAATATCCCCATATTGTGCATTGACTCTCATAGCTTCTATTATCAATAATAGTAATAATTGAAGAATTATGCATCCACTTGCAAAGACTTTCAGCTATGTGGCCACTATTGAAAATATCAGAACACTCCAGCAATGGGAAGCTTATTCCCTCTTTTTCTGTCATAATCATGACAAAAAGATGCTTAAATATTTATACCTCTCAAATATCTCTTTTATAGGCTTCTCAATGACTAGCAGGGAAATGAGTATTTTTTCCTGGGTAATAAAGAGCTAAGGCTCAATTTTCTATTGGACCTATGGAGGGCAGAAGTGCCAGAAATCTCAAACACGGGATAACCCCAGTATCTTTTGGCTTTGGAATATGATATCTGGCTTCAGAAAGGCTTTTGTTTGACTTTGTAGAGACTAAAGACTTTGTAGAGACTAAAGACTTTGTAGAGACTAATGTTTAAATTAGTTTACAATCATTTAACAGAGGAGAGGGAGAAGAGAAGGAGGCAGTTCTGGGGATCTCATTCTGCCGGAGGAAAATCTCCTAGATATCATTCATAAGTCCCCTCAACCTCAAGAGCATCTCAGGGGCTGCAGAAGCAGAGGTGTGTCCCAGCCATTCAGGGTGTCTCTGTGATCAGGACATTCAGGAGTGGTTTAGAATAGGAAGCAGTCGTCCTTTGCAACTTCATCTCCAAAAGGGAAAACTCTCCCTTAAAACCCCCATATCCTAGCCACCCTTCCCATTCTACTGTGGGTCCTTCATTCCTTCATTTTTTGAATTTCCTTTGAAGCCATTAGTATTTCCCACCTGTGCCGCCTTCTGTGCATCAAGCTAATGAATACACTGGCTTGGCCTGCCTTTACAAAACCTTTTGGAATGAGAAATATTCATGGGGGTAGTAGGGCAATAGGCACATATGTTACTTTTATAATTGAAAGTAACTAGTGGCAATAGCAGTATTATGTAAAACATTTAAAAATGAAGCCCTCCCGGAGCACCTGGGTGGCGCATTCAGTTGAGCATCCAACTCTGCATTTTGGCTCAGATCAAGATCTCATGGCTTGTGAGATCCAGCCCTGAGATGGGCTCTACTCTCAGCGGGGAGTCTGCCTGAGGATTCTCTCCCTCTTCCCCTAACCCCCCAAATAGATAAATCTTCAAAAAAATTAAGCCCTCCCAATCTCATTACCCCATCACATCAACACATTTCATTCATCAGAGCTTTTGTAAGCATGCGTGCCGTGCTCCCTGTTGCAGACCATGTCCCCTCTTCTCTTCAGCACTTACCATATAAAATATAGGTTCCCAGTGGTTTGAGAAGGCTGAGACCTTTTCCAGTGTTATCCCCACAGAGGCAATCCAAAACAATGTCCACTCCTTCAGCAGAGATTCTAAATGGTGTGAAGACAAAGTAAGATACTGTCACCTGTTAGGGACCAAACTTCTGATGGCTCCTCCTTTCTGTGTCATGTTGTTTACTCCTAGAATCAGCAAAAACAATAGCTCCGGGAGTAGCTGTAAATAGGCCAGGAAGCCTGGAGGCCAGGAGGCCAGGAGGCCTAATTTTACCTTCCTGGGTCCCACTCAAGAACTTCACAGAGCTGGAGGTAGCTAAAAATCTGGCTGGTGGCTTATATCAGGAGCCAGCCTGAGTTAGGAAAGTGAGCATGGACATCATGCTCATTGAATTCATACATTTGAATTTGTACCTAGCCACCTCAAGTATGGAGCCTGGGTTATGGGCTAGGCTCTGTCCAAGGTGCTGGAGACAGAGAGGGGAACAAAACCAACATGTTCTGTCTTCATGGGGTTTCCAGTCTAGCAGGGACTAGCTTTTCTCCCCTTCTCCCTCTCTCCTCAGTGAATCACATTAATTTAACTCGCAAACTTGTATTCATTCAATCTCAAGGTTCAATCTAAAATGGAATCATTGAGGAAGAGGGTTAAATAGACAGGTTCTCAAGGTGCCTGGTTGGTTCATTTGGTTAAGCAGCTGACTCTTGATTTTGGTTCAGGTCATGATGTCAGGGTCCTGAGGTCAAGTCCCACATCGGGCTCCATGCTCAGCAGGAAGTTTGCTTGAAAATCCTCTCTCTCCCTCTCTCTTTGCCCCTCCTCACACCCTCTTTCTCTTTCTCTCTCTCTCAAATAAATAAATCTTGGAAAAAATAAAAAAGTAGAGAGGGTCTTCCTATAGCAGTAGAAGGTTCCAGAGTAGAGAGAATCCATATTTATACTGTATTAAGCAGACGAAACATTTTTTGATCCCTTCCTCCATTAATTTATTTGTACATTCACTGATTCACTCACTTATTCATGCATTTAACAAAAATCTACTGGGCTTCCACTGTTAGAAGATATAATGTGGGAGGGAGCTGTAAACAGGAAGGCTCTGGGGATTGTAGGGAAGCTATTCATGCCCCCCAGGGCTCCCAGTTCTGGCTAGGCCTTGCTCTGCTCAGACAAGAATGGCATCTCTTCAGATTCGTGAGTTCGCAGGATTATCTTGTCTTAGCACACAGCTCAGTATTTCTACCTCCACCCTCATCCCCAAACTGAGTTCATAGTTCATGTCAACAGCTAGATCCTGTTTTCATAAGTAGAAAATTGCATGTGTATCTCTAGGGTTCAGACACTAAGTCAACTGCCCCATGCCCCAGGACAGCTGAGTTGTGACTTTCAAAAGCTGAGTCATGATGTTTGAAAGCCCTCAAGTTAAGTCCAAACTCTAGTCATTACAAAGATGCATCAAAAATTATCAGCTTAGCTTTTGCCTAACAGAATGCTTATTTATAAAGGTATATCTGTTCAAGTCCAACCTATAAATTCAGAACCAGGGAATTAGGCCAGTGGATCTAAAACTTAAGCATCAGAATCTCCCTGGTGGGGGAAGCTCATTAAAACAGGTAGTTTGTCCTCCTTCCCCCTCTTCTTGTAGCTTCTGATTATGTTGGTTTGGGGTGGGCCCCAAAGATGTGCATTTCTAACAGGTTCTCAGGAGATATTGATGCTGCTGATTCTGGCTCCACACTTTGGTCTAAGCCAGCTACTCAGGAGCCAAACTGGCATTATTTTTTTTTTTTTATTAACAATTAATTGGTTCATTCAATATTTGGGCCTGGCACTGCACTAGGAACTCGAGGTATAGTGGTGAGCCCAAACAGATTTGACTTCTCCCCTTTTAGAATTCCTGTTCGGTAGATATTCACCTATAATTACACCAAAAAAAATTAAATTGAAATTGAATGGCATCTTGCGCCATGAGACCATGTCAATCTGGAGTTTGCCCAATTGGGTCTTCCAGAGAAGGCATCCCTGGGAAAATGCAGAGTGAAGTTATCTAGGTAAAGAGTGGCCAGAATAATGTGCCAGGTTGGGGGAACAGCATATGCAAAGGTCCTGTGGTGGGAGGAAGCCAGTGAGCAGGAAGACTAGGAAGCATCCAGTTTGGCTGGAGTAAAGAAAATGTAAAAAGATGAGGCCTCAGAGTCAGGTGGGAACTGGAACACAGACTCTGTTGGTGGGCTCTAGATTGGTGCCTCACACCTGGTGATCAGGTCTTCACACCTTGCATCATGGGCTGGGTAGCTACGTTACTGTCTTCCTCACTCCTACCAAGTGTGTTCACTCCTGTGGAAGTAGGACCCTGCTCTGCTTCTACTACCAGCCCTCCTGGGCCACCTTCTTCCCCGTGAATGCCATTTCCCCAGGACCTCTTTCCTTTGCTGTAAGATGCCCACCTGTGTTCAGGAGCAGCCTCCCAAATGCTGGGCTGTGCACACCTTTTGGGGTACCCCTGAAGGACCTGCCCAGCCCCAAGTGCTCATTTCCGGCCTGATGTTTCTCACATTTATATTCTGTGAGTGTACATTTTCTCCCACAGTCTGCCAGTTAATTAGCTGCCCCTTCTAGACCCTGTTGCTCTGTCCTCTGGTTCTGCAGAAATGCAGGGCAGCCCACATTAAGCTACTGCCCACTTCCTCGTCCTCACTTGCCACTAACTGCTCACGGCATTCTGACCTTGTAGCGATTCCTAAAACATTCCTGCCTCAGGGCCTCTGCATATGCTATAATCTCTGCCAGAACAGCCTTTCCCCAGTCTCCTTAGAGCTGGTTCCTTACTAATCATCCCACCTAGAGAGGGAGCCCCAGATTATCTCTAGCTCCCTTTGTGCTTTAACATCTGTACGAAAGACACTTTTCAGTTTGTCATGGGCTGTAATTATTCTAGTTTATTTGTCTCTTCCACCAAAATGTACGCCCCATGAGACAGGGACCATGTTTGTGCTGTTTTATCCTCAGTCCTCCTTAGCCTGCAGGACACAGTGTTAGTTCTCAACAAATATTGATTGACTGTATGAATAGATGATTAAATAAATGATGAATGAATGAATGCAGGACAACGAAGAGAACATTTTGAGTGGTATTTCCACATTTTTATATGTGTGCCTCCTTCAAAGGAAACTCACATTTTCTGAGCTCTGCTGTATGCTGGGCATTTCAGAATTAATCTTCATGACAAGTCTGAGACAGGCATTTTAACTCCACTTGTTTGAGGAGGAAATGGAGGTTCTCAGACACAGCACCTTGCCCAAGCTTATGTAACTGGTACACCCTGCATTCAAACCTCGGTCCAGTTTCACTCCTGAGCAACGGCCTTGCCACCTTTCTGAATATAAGATTTAATAAACGTTCCAATCAATCTAACTATGGAAGCATTGTTTTAGCAAGCAGCTCTGGGAAGCAGTCAATTTAATTTATTCTTTGAAGAATTCTGGTTTAAATGTTGTCTTTAAAAATAAGTATAGGTATATCTAAAGTTAGACCACGTTACTCCAAACAGGCCAGGAGGCTTCTATTTTCAAGCTGCTTTTTTCAGTTCTAGATTATAGGAGAGGCCCAAGGTCAGGGTCCTACACATCTGTCCTAAGTTTTCCGCCACTGGACAACCACTCACTAGTGCTTACTTCATGCTGGACAGTGTGTGTGCGGAGCTGGGTGGGGACACAGACGCGGGTTCAGGTTCCTCCCTGCCATGAGGGAGCTCATGGATACTAGGGAAGACAGACTAAATGGACAGCCCAGGCAGTCACCACAGCTCCAGTGGAGCCACTTGGGACAATGGAAGAAGATCTTTCTGTTGGGAGATGAACACGAATTGACTGGGTGTTGAAGGAAGGGCATTGTGCAGAAAACGTTGTGACAGGTTGACCCAGGACAAGCAGCACCAAATAGGCCCAAGGAAGAGGCTTTGGGGCATCAACCATGATAATGAGAGACTCTGTGTGCACACTGTCTCCTTCCAGAAGGACCTAAGTATGTCTGCCACAATGGACAAGTAACATGGAGTAGTGGGCAAGCATGGGGTTGGTGTAAGGGCAGCATAGCTCTGGGCTTAGGAATATGAATTTCATCTCAGAATTAAGCATCCTGTTGCCACCTACATGCTGTGTGACCTCAGGTGAGTTACTTAGCCTCTTAGTGTCTTGGTGTCCCCATCTGTAGAAGGGAATGACGGTGATAACCCCTGCCCCAGGCTTCTCTGTGAAGCTTGGATGGACTGAAGCACATGGAACATAGGGCCTGGCTCATGGTAACTTCCGGGTCCATGGTAGTTTTTTTATTATTTTTTTCAGGGTGGGCCAACTTAAAAAGAGTTCTTTTAGTCAGGGAAAAGAGTATAAAGGAAAGACGGCAAAACCTCAACAACCCAACCATGAACCCAAGTAAATGTCAGTGTGGGTGGAACCACCAACCCAGAAACCATTAGAGCAGATGCTTGATCCCCTTGACCATCCTAGGAGAGCATGTCCCACTGTCAAGAGCACTTACCATGTGCCAGGCACAGTGCTGAGCACTTCCTAAGTTGCGTCTCATTGAGGACGTCCCAACCCCATAACTCAGGGACCATCATTATCCCCACTTAATGGTTAAGGAAGCTTAGGCTCCATGGGGTCAGGCAGCATACCCTAGGACCCACCACAGGGAATGAGGAGACTTGCTCCATCACATCTAGAAACCAAGTGAGGGCCCCAGCAGCAGGGCAGGGGTTCATAGGCGGGCGGTGGCCAGCCCTGGTGACCACCACTGCCACCACGAGGCACACAGGCTCCCAGCAGGGGCTGACCAAAGCTGGGAGCTGTGCCCTGGGCTTCTTGCTGGAGGGAGATGCTGCAGATCTCCTGTGTTTCTCTCTCCCCACACCTCTTTTGGCATTGTGATAGCTGAATCAGGTAACTCTGGTTTTGCACATACAGAGGGGTCACATAAGCCACAAATCCCTGCCCCTGTGCTGCCCCTGTGTCCTTTGGAAGGTCAGTGGTGGGGTGGGGTTGGAGGGTGAGAGCAAGATGGATACCGAGGAGAGGGAGATGTCCTTCCCAAGGCCCTGAGGCTGAGGATGCTTTGGTTGTTTCTGTCAAATCTTTAAGCAGTTGTTGCTCCTTGTAAGGCTAGGTAAGTTCCTTCAGGTGAGTTAGAAAATTGAAAAGATACTCCATCCCCGATTCAGTCATCAGAAGTCCAGCCAGTGGGTCAGACAGAATGGGACTCAGTTGGGTCTGTCCCGCAAGTAGCCTTGGAGCAGCGCTTCCCTTACTCACGCTCACAGAGAAGCACCTCAGCAGCTCCTTTTAATGCAGCAGTCATGGACATCACAAGCAGAGCTAGCTAAGCCCTTGGAAGCTCAGGGATCATCCTCATTTCTTAGCAACCCCCCGTCTCTGGCGATGTCTGCCTCGCCTGCATGTGTGTAATCATAATTGCACAAAAAGCAGACAGGGTGAGGGCTTTAGGGCTTTGCTCCCATAAATCTCTGCAGATTCAAAAAGCAAACGCAAAGAGCCCCAGCTCAGGGATTCTCTGGGCCAAATGCATCAGCAAAATACTTTGGAATTGCCTATCGAGGTCTTCATGCCTGTCCTTCCTCCGTCCACAACCCCTTGCGCCTTAACTGCGAATGCCGTCTCTTTGCTTCCCACCCACACAGATCAGTAGCAGATTTCTTCCTGAGCAGTGGTAGGTCCAACAGGGCCATGACTGGGAGAGAAGCCCTTGACTTTGCCAAGAAATTATCCCCCTTGATTGTAACTTTCCCCTCCAGGCGGATCCTTGGTTCTCCGCTCAGTGCTTCTCTTTCTGAATTCCTTTTTCTTTGAGAACTCGTCTGTGCCATAGCTTTAGCCATCACCTCCGAGCTCATGATGGAGGGATTAGGCCCTTTCAGGGTGCCCAGCACAGTGTCCAGGGCACAGAAGGCTGAGTGCAGTTCTTGGCATATAGTAGTCTTCCCCCAGAGGGCTGAGCACAGTACCCAGTGCACAAGAGGCTTTTCACAGGGTACTGAGCACAGTGCCTGGTCCATAGTAGGCTTCCTAGTAAATGTGTACAAATACTTAGCCATACCACCTCTAGGAATCCGTTCTTTTTTTTTTTTTTTTTTTTAAGATTTTGTTTATTTATTTGACAGAGAGACAGTGCACAAGCGGGGGAGCAGGAGAGGAGAAGCAGGCTCCCCACTGAACAGAGAGCCCAATGCGAGGCTCAATTCCAGGACCCTGGGATCATGACCTGAGCAGAAGGCTGACGCTTAAGCATCTGAGCCACCCAGGCGCCCCTAGGAATCCATTCTTGATCACATTCTCTGCTCTCTCTAGGTGATGAGACTCTCCATGATTTCCACCATCTCAGTTTCTTTGACTGCGAAATGAGGAGCTTTCCCCTTGCAGGATTGTCTGAGGGGCACACACAGTGGTGCAGTCATACGGGTCAGCAGAGGCAGCGGACGCCAGCAGAGCCTGGCTTGTACCCGCTCCCCTTGCTGGCATTCGCTCCCCGCCTCCCACAACCTACTGAGATGTTTCCCATCCTCAGATCCCCTGCTGGGGGCTGCCCACTTTGGTGCGCCTTCTCTCTCTCTCTCTCTCTCTCTCTCTCTGTCTTTCTCTCCTCTTAACTTTTGAAGTCCTTACAGTGAGATGCACATGGTCAAAGCTTCTAATTCTTCCACTTGCTTTCGAGCATAGACAGGCAAAGGGCAAGGGATGTAAAGGTAAGGTCTCTATTACAACTGTGCCCCCTGCGCCCATTCAACCAGGCTGAAGGCTGAGATCGGGTACAAAAGAAGCTTACCAACTGACTGGATGACAAAAAAAATCTGCATCTCGGGAAATTTGATGTTATTATTCTCCCCCTCTGTATCAACACAGAGCACAGAACACTGTAGCAGACAAGATCCGTGCTCAGAAACCAAAGAGAAATCACTCTCCATTGCACTCTTGTTGCTTATTAGTGGTTAGGGGGTTTTTTCCCCCACTTGCTTTTCATTTTTTGTCTTCATGCGCCAAGAATTTTTACAAAGCTGTGATCACAGTGTAGCTGGAATTTGGCATTCTGCTTTTTTTCCACTCCATGTGCTACCATGGGTATTTTTTCATTTTGTGACAGAATCTTCATAATTATCTTTTTTTAGGGGCTCCATAATACTCAAGTGTGTGGGTGTAGCATAACGCACCGAACCGTTTCCGAGCTGTCGCTAATGGAGGCCGGTTCTGAAATCTCAGCCTCACAGAGAGTGCTGTAACTCTTCCTGTTGGTCTGTGTCGAGCACCGGCCCTGAGGCAGAAGCGATGCTGGGCTCGGCGACAGGCACCGAGTACCTCTTGCTTGTATCTTCTTCTGGATTCTTTCCTGAGGGTAGGGTTGGTGGGACAGAGGGCATGAACCCATCTGCGACTTCCTAGTCATTTTTACTGGACTCCTAGGGTCTCTGCTTAAACACACAAGCAATCAGGAGAAGTCACATTTGAAAGAAGCTGTGGTGAGGCAGGTCTCAGATGCTGTCACTTTCTGCTGGTCTGACATTAGCATGAATCACTGACTTGGGGGCTAGAAAGGCAGCAGGTTGAGGACAGTGAAGGGATGAGGGGATGGAAAATTCTACAGGGAAAATGGGGAAGGCAGGAGCTCTCTGGTTATGTACTGTCATTCATTCATTCATTCATTTACGATGTCCTTAATTTATTTGAGAGAGAGAGAGCATGAGCAGGGGGAGGAACAAAGGGAGAGGGAGAAACAGGCTCCCCACCGAGCAGAGAGCCTGACACCAGGACTCTGGATCATGACCTGAGCCACCCAGGCACACCTCACTGTCACATTTTTAGAAGAGTAGTCACCTCCTGATGCTCATTGCCCATTGCCTCCCACACCCTACTCCCTCCAGCTGCCCTGGTCTCCTTTCAGATTCTGGAATTTACCAAGTCGTTCCTGACCCCCCAGGCCTTAGCACATGCTGTTCCACCTATTCAGAAATGCTGTTCCTTTGGCCAGTTTCTCACCCTTTAATGCTCAACCCGAATCTCCTTTCTTGACAGTCTCTATGTCTGATCTCCCTGTCTGTATATGTTCACCAGCACCTTGCATTTCTCCACTAAATCATATATCAGAAGTACAAATCAGTCAATTTTTAAAATGCTGCTTTTGTTCCTCTTCCCCAACTAGACTCAAAGCTCCATGAAGACAGTGACTCTTAAGGTGTTTTTTGTTTGTTTTTGTTTATTTGTTTTTGCCAGATCTTTTGCCCTAGCACAGAACCTGGCCCATGGCAGGCACCCAGTACGAAGTGGGTCAGGGTATGAACGAGGAAAAATTAAAATGATCATTTAAGGGATTAAGGGCAAAGCCTGCTGGAGGGACAATGGCAGTTCATTTCCCAGACCACAGCTGGAGAGATGCAAGTTACAAGAAGGAAGAGCTACCTGAGGGTTAGGAAAGTCGGCAGAGATCTATCCGGGAAGTCTTTAAAATATGCCTGCAATGTCTAGATATCTGAGAAAAAGGTGCTGAACTTCTGATGTCTAGTTTGGAAGGTCTTTTCTCACTGGAAATACCGGGACAACCTTAAACTCTGTGCAAATCTCTACCTTTAAAATTTAAAAACAAATCTGAAAATCCAGACCATCAGAAGACTTTCTAAAAAAAACTCCCTAAATTTCACCTACTCTGGTCTAATTCTATCCCCTTGGACAACCATATCTCCCATCCTCTAAGTCCTTCCGTTTGGAGAAAGTTGTTTCTCTATTATGATGCGAGACGGACAAATGAATTTCTTTGTATCATACAATTTAGTGCCAGGACATGAAGAGACCAAAACCACAGCTCTGAGACGTGTCTGAATCCCCTTAGGAGCTGGGGGAAGCCAAACCCGAGCGTCAGCCTCCCCCCATTCTGAGCAACGATAGGGGATGTGACACACAAATCATCTCAAGGCAGCTGCGTTTTCCACCTGATTCCCCGTGTTGTCATGCACGGGGCCGTAGTTAACAGCTTCCAGACCACAGATGGAGCATGGGTCAGGTTAGAAACCCACGTTCCCCACCGTGGGTCTACCTGATCTCCCTGCCTGTGACCTCCCACCTCCCAGTCCTTCTCTGCACACCACCAGTGACTCTTCAAAACTCAAATCTGATCGTGTCACCGCTTTGCTCCTTCTGCGGCTCTCAGTCACACCCAGGTCCGAGGCCACATTTCCTTTGTCTTGTATGTGAATGAATGAGAAATAAACCTCTCTGTGTTAAGGTCATGTCATAGCCACTATCATAATTTATTTGGCAGCTTACTCACCTGCACTGTTCGTCGGTTTTAGCCTCTCCTAGATGGGGGGGGGGGTCATAACAGGGTTGCTGAGGATTAAATGAGCTCATACCCATGAAGCATTCAGCACAGAGCTAGTAACAGTAGGCCCCCGATATATGTTTACTCTGATTGTTGTTACTATTATCATCATCTGCCCTCCTCTGAACGAGTGCTCCTGTTCTTTGAGAAAGAGAGAGAAGCAAGGGCCCACCCGGTACTGTCTAGGGCGCACACCTTACCTTTTCACTTCCTGCACATAGTCTGCATTCCTGTCGAAGAGGTGGGTCATGGAGTCTTTGATTGCTTCATGCTTGAAAGTAGAAGCTGTTCCAAAGACAGTCACATTGGGGATAGTGGAACACAGCTGAGCCACAGCTTGGCCCTGGAAGTGAAATGCAATAGACAAGTCACACAGGAACGTTACCATCCAAGAGCCCGTCTTGCTGGATTAGAGCAGGGTTTCTCAACCTGGACCACTGACATTTTGTAGGCTGGATCAGTGTTTGTCGTGGGGGCTCAAGTGGGCATTGTGAGACGTTTAGCAGCAACTCTAACCTCCAACATGCTAGGTGCAAGTAGCGCCCCTCAGTTTGTCTCCAGACATTTCAGAAAGTCCCCTGGGGGACAATGTCTCCCTTGGTTGATAACTACAGCAAAACCCCAATACCAAGACTTAACAACCATTATTTTACCACACTGAATCTCGGGTTCCTCATCTAATTAACAATAGTGGTACATACTCCATAGGATCTTGGGGAGATGTCTTAGCAGGGATCCCCCAGAAGCAGACCCTGCGGTAGGGATTTGAGAGTCAGTACTTGATCTGGAGTATGACCACAGGAAATACCGAGGTATCGAGACAGAAACAGAAGGCAGCCAGTAAAGGGTGTGCTATTGAGTCAGCACCCACCCTGGGTAAATGGAACTCAGTCCCTCTGAGGCATTCCCTGAGCAGGTATAGAATATACCTCGGAGTTATCCCCAAACACAAGGTGAGCAGGCTGGACTATTTATTCCCGAAATTTCCATCTGCCATCAGTCAGGAGTTGCTCCTGTAGCAGTAACTCCCAGGTACGTCTGGCTTGTTCTCACGAACCAAGCACGCTCCCACAGCTAGACAGAAGCCCGAAGCATGCAACCTGTGGCAGAGTTGCATGCAGAGAAGCTACGGTGACAGCATCCAATCCGGGGCACATTAAACAAGACCATGCATAACACAGGCCAAACGCTGGCCCAAAACACGACACTTAATATAAGTTACTCAATAAATCTTAATCCTCTGGTCCCTTTCCTGGCTGAGACATTCAGGCATACAAAGAAAAGGCAAATGCATAAGGTTTAAATGTTGAATGGTCTAAGAGAAATCACAGACATCATTAGGAGTGGGTGATTTTTCCACATCCTTTTTCAGTATGGTCAGAATTTTAAGTCATTGGACAAAATACGGTGATCATGTGGGTCCAGAAACCTTCCAGCAAAAATCCAGTCGGCTGCTAATGAAGGTGCATTCTAAAACCAAGTTTTCTTTCCAGTCTTCTGTCTCCCATCTTAAGGAGGCAGGGATTATTCTACCAAAGGCACCTGGGATATTAACTTCTGCCTATCACTTCATGATGTGTCTTCATGTTGGTGGACTAAATCAGGTTGGCAGGTCTATTTTTGGAAATGTTATTCTTCCTAACGCTGGCAATGAACAGCAACATTGACTGAATCCTAGAATGTCAGACTTAGAAGATCATCCAATTACCCCCTCCCCATCATTGTCCCACAGATGAGGGAAAGGTGACTCAGAAAGGTTAAGTGGACCCAATTCTTCAGAGGCAGATCGCAATTGGAAGCAAGGTCTTCTAACTTCTGGTTCTTGCCATTTTCTGTACTGCCATGCTGTCTACTTATTTTGACATTTTAAGCGAAGCAGACTTCCTTTGAAGCTGCTGCCTAAAATAGACATTTTACTGACTTGGGGGGGTCAGCATTTCAGAACATGGGCATGAACTTAAGACTCCAATCAGGCTATCATTCTCTCTTCTAAGAATACCTTTGACATTTGGTTAATTTTTTTTTTTAATCACTTGATTTTAGAGAACAAAGAGGGGACCTTCTTGGTGAGTGGAAATATCAGCATTCCATTTTGCAGTCCTCTAAAATTCAGCAGGGCTTGAGCTAACCTCATCTGTGCTGGGATGGGAGTTTAGAAATAGTTCCAGGATCTGTATGGTCCTTCCAACCCACTGTCCGTAGGCCACCATGACATTTATCTACTCAACTACTTTTTCAAATTCCTATTATGTACTGGTCACACTATGCTATGGACGGATGCAGGAGGGCCAGAAATGACTGACATGCCTCACTGTCTATTCTCTGGCCCCAAGTCCCCCACCAAGTCTTAGATTTGTGTATTGAATGACCACTTGGTGCCGGTCTCTACCTAGCTGTCCAAAAACAACACATCACAGTCAACTCATCTAAAACATAACTCTTAGCTCTCTCCATATGAGTTACTCCTATTGCTTTGCTGGGGCTGTTTTAACAAAATACCACAGACTGGGGGACTTAAACAACAGAAATTTTTCACCATTCCAGAGGCTAAAATTCCAAAATCAAGGTGTTGGCAGGGTCGCTTCCTTCCAATGGCTGTGAGGGAGGGGTCTGGCCCAGGCCTCTCTCCTTGGTTTGTAAATGGCTGTCTTCTCCCTAGGCCTTTTCACATGGTCCTCTCTCTACCACCACTGATTGACATTCACCATGATCCCAGTGCTGTGCAACCCTCATTCCATGGTGTCCAACCTATGTCCAAATTTCCCCTTCTTACAAGGACTCCAGTCACAGCGGATTAGGACCTATCCTCATTTCAAAACTTGACTACCTCTATAAAGTCCCTACCACCAGATGAAGGCACCTTCTGAGATACTGGAGGTTAGGACTTCAACATATGGTTTTGGCGGGGGTGCGATTCAACCCATAATGTTCCTCTTTCTGCATCTCCTGCCTCAGTGGCTGAAACTGTACCATTTACGTATCGCTAGGCTAAAGTCAGGAAGCCGGGGTCACCTGACTCTTCTTCCTCTTCAGCCCCATATCCGGTTAGTGCATTGTTTCTACTCACGTCTCTGTGACTATTACTTGTTCATCTGGGTTGTTGAACTTCCTTGCCTCGTCGATGACGACACACTTCTGGACACCTGGCTGTTCCTTGTGTCCTTGGCACCATGGGCAGAGTGATTTTTCTCAAACACAACACTGAGCATCTCACTATTTGTCTCAAAACTTCCCAGTGCCTGCCATGGCTTGCAGAGTGAAAAGCACACCCTTAAGTTTATCTCAGGCTGGGGCTCTGGGATCTGCCCCCATCTGCCTCAGAACATGCTAGAACATGCTGTCCCTCCACTTTTCCACCATCCGCTCCCTAACAGAACAAGGCACTTGATCCACCGTGGATTGAAATTTGCCACGATCCCTCATTCCATGGTGTTCTCAGAACGATACTTTCACCTGACTTTGCTGAGGAGGAGACTAGGTTTACACACCTGCTCCAAGACCACTAGGGTAAGATGGCAGACCTTGATCTGCTGTACTCGCCAGCTGAGCAAGCTCGAGTAACCTGTCGGTTCTTCTGGTCATGCATCTCGATATGCAAGGTGTAAGGCTCTCTGTGCTCTAAGGTTTCCGTGGGCCTGTTTGACATAACGCATCCAAGGGCTTAGCCTCACAACAGTGAACGCTCCGTACTTGCCATCACTGTCCTAGGAATGCCATTATTATTTTTCTTGCTTTTATGTCAGCAGTACCTGACAGTATGTCAGCAAATCTAACATCCTGATCTCTTGAATGTATCACACTATTTTAACATGAACACTAGGTCCTCACATGCTGTCCCCTACCTATCATGCCTGTCCTTCCACTTCCATCTTCAGAGCACGACCACTCCCCCTTAGGCAACTCCTCTTCCAGAAATCCTTCTCAGGCAGGGTCACTTGCCTCTTTTTGTGCCACCATAGACTGGTGGTTCCTTCCTCCAGGACATCGGCCACCAATGCCTTCTGGAAGGGGGCTGCTGAGTGACCCATCTGTGAGCCCTGTGAGGCCAGGGACCATGTCATATCTGGGTCTGTACCTCAGTACCCAGGGCAGAGCCTGGCATCTGACAGGTGTTTGGTAACGCTTATCCAATGGATGCACGAGAAACTACAGGAATGTGATGTAATGCGGGAACCCCCATCACTTCGCAGATTGCCATTCCTTTAGCCTTGCACAGTAGGTATAAAGCACAGGTTCAATTAATGTATAGCATCTGACCTGAGCAGAACTTCACCGTTTCCATTTCTAAGGAAAAGATAGGTGTGGTAGCACAATGAGACCATATAAGTAACTGGGTTACTTATGTATTTATACAATTATATAACATAATACGTGAATATTTTATATAATATAAAATACAGAAATAAATACATAATATCATGTATAATTAGAATAATATAAAATGAGTATTATGTGTATATATGTATAATCAGTATTATATGCATACATATATAATATCTATTATAATATTCTACTTGTGATATATAATTATTGTAATAGTACATCATCACATATAATATATAACTAGCATAATGTACAAGTATTATATATAATATTATATCATAATTTGAATTATGATATAAATCATCCTGGGGAGAAAAGCAAGTTCAGCGGACATCCGTAGTAGCACCCCCGCTTTGAGCTCTCTGTTGACGCACTAAGGCAACGAGAGGCCCTTGCAAGATCCTCGGTGATCTAAAGTAAATAATACTCAGCATTCTGTAGGGAAGCAGGATGTGTGCGTTCCCTCACATTTACAGAAAATCTGTACTCTCCCTTCTCCAAGTCCCAAGGTGAGTGCTGGATCAGCATCTAATTTATCCTTGTTTCTCCCACGTGCCTAGAAAACAGCACGGACTCGATAAACATTTGTGGAAGACGGAATGAATTTTCAATAAAAAGGATTTTGCAATTTACCTACAGACCCAGAACATAAAATGAACAAGACAATCCATTCTCCCAGCAACAGCAGCCAATGGAGCTTTGCACATACTTGTTTTTAATTGATCTTCCTGTCCCTCTTTAGAATGTAAGAATTCTGCAGCGAGCATTTGCCTTCCTTGCCTGTGGCTAGCAAGTACAGCAGCTGCCGTTCCCTTTGCCTCACTGTAGGCCAGGTACTGTGCTTAAGGGCTCCGTTCAATCCCCAAACCATGTTTAGAGTAAATGCTTTTATTTCCTGTTTATATCTGAACATAGGAATTCAGACGGGGAAAGGAACTTGTCCAGGGTAATCTGGCTTGTAAGTGATAAGGCCCGGGGGTCAAACTCAGGTCTCCCTGACCCCAGAGCCACTCTGCCATT